CTCCTCCAGGGCAGCACGTTGCCCTGCCACCCAGAAGGCAGCCTACCCGCCCAGGAATGTCTTCAGGCGCTATTAGTGGAAGCAGATCATCCCCACAAACAGGCACGACCCCACACAGGAGTCTCAGGAGAGTGGGGCTATTTTGGGCTTTTGACATTGAGCACGAAAGGAGACACGTGAGGGGCTGATCCTCCTGCCATGGGCCTCCTCCAAAGCTCCTTTCAGCCTTGTCCCCTCCTCCAGCCATGGCTCTTGTGGAGGCTGAGGGGCAGTTTGGTGTGGCCTTGGAGCACAGGAGAGGACAGAGGGAGCTGTGAGTTTGCTGGGGTGCAGGGCCAGCCCTCAGTGCCATCAGCAGTGCCCAGCAGTGCCCCGGGCAGGTCCTGCCTGAGGGTGTGTAGCTGTCCCTGAGATCAGGGCACGGGGCCTCCTGCTTTTTTCTCAGCCACACCCATGAGTGTGAGATGGCTACCAGAGGGTGTATGCAAGAGAAACAGCAGAAAGCTGGAGGAAGAAGCAGACATTTTTACAAAAAATCTAAAGTAGGCTATAGTACGTCAGAGCAGACACAGTCACACCCACAATGAGTGAGGTGCTTCTTCAGTGACATGCAAGTAATTCCCCATTGGTATCCTTTGGGACAGTGCATTTGGACAAATTATCAAAGAAACTCTCCTGGTGTCTCATGTGATAGTAGGGCTCATTGACTTCTCACTGGTCTGCATCAAGGAATTCTGCAAAATGTGACAGCTTCAGAAAGGGACATAGCTACAATGGTGGGAGCAATTTCATGCGCTGATATTGCTGAAAGGATTTCCAAATTAACTTCATAGCCCTCAGCTACCCCTAACCTGTTTGATTCAGTGGGTACACAGAGCCCCATGGCCTTTGAGGTTTCTGGGAAAATCCTCCAAAGCTGAGTGCTCTCTCTTTCAATGTGGTGAGGAGGTATGTTGGAGCCATGTGGTGAGCAAGAGCTGGGCACAAAGGGACAATCCTGATAGTCCTTCCAGTATGTGGCCACAGGCAGGCTTAGCTGTTTGCCCACTCAAGAGAAACTGGCAGCAGCTGAGGAAATCTAGGGTGAGGGAAATGGCACAAGGGAGGGACACTATGGGTGTCTTGTAACTGTGCTCTTTGTGGCTGAAATCGTCTCTGTCAAGGAACTGTCAGTCCTCCACACTGCAGTGCACTGCAGCTTCTGATGACTCTCTCAGGGATTGATGTTTATGGTTTTGAGGGCCAACAATGCAAACAAGAGTAAGAAAAGGAAAAAGCAAAAGGACTCTCTCTTGACTCTCCCATGGGAAAAAGGCTGTGCTGAAACAACAATGGGAGAAGCATCAGGAGGATGTGAAGGCAGGAGCTGGACAAAGAGCTGCTGGAGACAGGAGAGAGCACAGGCTGGATTTTCAGGAGCCTCCACAGCAATGGCCAGCCTGTGAGATTGCAGATCCTCAATCCAGCACTGGCACCAGTTTCTCCCTTGTCACAGAGAGAAAAAGTAAGGAAACTTCTTCTGCAATGCAATTTCTAGAGGAAAACAAAACCCCAAGAAGAACAAAACCACTGGCCATAGTGTGTATGCAGAGGAATCTACTACAGTCTTTATTCACTAGACACTGAGGTGGGTACAAAGGCTCATGGCAGAAGGAAAGTGACCTAGAGGTTCACATTTTGTGCAGCCCTCAGGTCACTTTTGTGCCTTGTGACATTCTCACTCTTCCTCTTCTATCCTCCCATGGAACTCCCGGCTCTTGGCTCGGAGCTTGTTGACCTGTGACTCTGCAATGTCAGCCCGCTCCTCGGCTTCCTCCAGCTCGTGCTGGATCTTGCGGAACTTGGAGAGGTTGACATTGGACAGCTCCTCCTGTGTGGAGAAAGGGAGTCAGTGGTGAGGAGCCCAGGGCAGGGTCTTCGTTCCTCTTGCACCTTGGCTTTGCTCAGCCGAAGCTTTTCCCTTGGGGAAAATCACCATCTCATTTATTCCACTGCTCAAATGTCACCCTCACACGTAACTCCTCATCCTTGCCTGTGAGGAAGATTCATTGTAGAAGGAACATAATGTGATTTAGACATAATTCTGCCTTGGAATGTGGGAAGGAAGCAATATAGACAACTTGAAATTTAATTTTTTTTTTTTAGTGCAGAATCAAACAATCAATTTCATCTGCAGATCCTTAAGTGGGGTTAGGAATTTATGAGAGACAACAATTACAAGAGGGCTCCTCTCATAAATTGCCTTAACAGAACCAGAGCCCTACTCTGTGCTGGACTGTTGCCACAATGAAGAAGCCATACTCAGACAATCATAAATTCAGGGGCTGTAGGACTTCCCTCAGGACATCTCTGACTGCTGCAAGCCTAGAAACAGGCAAAGGTTCCTTGTACAATTATAAAAGCATAAAACAAAGCGGTTTGGGAGGGCAATTCCAACACCTTCCATATCTGCTATCAACACTCTAAAACTAAGTTTTTTTTCAAAAACTTTTAACACATGGTATTACTGATATCAGTTATAAGACTCCTTACAGGTTGCTTTGTGTTTCTAATGCAAAAAATGCTAGGTGCTTTTCCCCTCCTCAATAATCTTCTTAAAGGCTCGTTGACACATCTAATCTATGATCCTTTCAAAGAATTTGAAGAACTACACTACTGATGAGTGGCATCTTCAGACTTTCTTCTATCTGTATCCCCAATGGCCAAAATGCACTCTCCAGGAAAGGGGTTCTTGCAAAGCACTCAGATACTCACAGCCTCCTCAGATTGTCTCTTGTAGGATTTCACTTTCATTTGCAGCTTGTCCACCAGATCCTGCAGCCTGAGGACATTCTTCCTGTCTTCCTCTGACTAGAGTGTTTCACAAACAGGAAAGAGATTCAGTTCCTGGTTCTGCATCACATGACATTAACAATTCCCCTTGGGGACGGTGTGTGCAAGATGTGACTCACTGTGGGAAAGCCCTGTGAGAGCAGAGTTCCTGCCTTACCTGGTAGGTGAGTTCCTTCACCCTCCGCTCGTACTTGCGCACGCCCTTCACGGCTTCAGCGCTGCGCTTCTGCTCAGCATCAACCTCCCCTTCCAGCTCCCGCACCTGCAAGGACAAGCCCATCCCTGCAGCTTCCCTGGCAATGTCTCTCCAAGGACACGCTCACTCAGGCACAGCCCCAGCCCTACACACCCTGGCCTCCAGCTTCTGGATCTGCTTCTTCCCTCCCTTCAGTGCCAACTGCTCAGCCTCATCCAGACGGTGCTGCAGGTCCTTCACCGTCTGGTCCAGGTTCTTCTTCATCCTCTCCAGGTGGGCACTGGTGTCCTGCTCCTTCTTCAGCTCTTCTGCCATCATGGCCGCCTGATCAGAGCAAAGGGTCAAAGCCATTTTAGGAATGGAGATATTTTGGGGAGAGTACATTCATCCTCAGCAATGCCAGGAGTGCCCAACTCACATCAGTGATGGCCTTCTTGGCCTTCTCCTCAGCATTGCGGGCTTCCTGGATGGTATCCTCCATTTCACCCTGGATCTGGGCAATGTCCGTTTCCAGCTTCTTCTTGGTATTGATCAGGCTGGTGTTCTGTGCAATGGGAAGGACATGGCAAGAGTTGAATTCTACAACCCGCCATAAGAACCCTCTACCAGAACAAAGACATTCCCCTTCCAGCTTCCAATTCTTACACTGAATAATTTTTACAATGGTTGTTTACAAAATGTCAGGCGTAGGCTTGGGAAACGGATGCAAAGCACGCCTTTCCTTGGGGACAGCAGCAGAGAGACCTTTCTAGTGCTGCTGGTTCTCTGGTAAATTCCAGCCCTCTGTGTTTGCTCAGTGTCAACACAGGTCCTTGCTCCCTGCCCTGACCTGGCTATGGAGGAGCTGGACACGCTCACTGGCATCCAGGAGCTCCTGCTCAGCCACTTTCCTCGACCGCTCCGTCTGCTCCAGGGCTGCCCGGAGCTCCTCAATTTCAGCCTGCAGCAGGTTTGCTCTACGCTCCACCATGGCCACCTGCTCCTTCAGGTCATCCTTTGATCTGAGAGCATCATCCAGATGGATCTGTGTGTCCTGCAAAGATAGAGAAAAGAAATTAGTAGGTGTCGGTCGCTTGAGTAGGATGTCAGTGATCTTATTTTTCTCTTTTCTGTTGCTTTGCTGAATGGACCTTGAGCACAGCCTGCGTGTTTCTCAGGTTCTTCTGTGCCTCTGCAGCCACACGGTTGGCATGGCTCAGCTGGATCTCCATTTCATTCAGGTCTCCCTCCATCTTCTTCTTCAGCCTCAGGGCTTCATTCCTGCTCCTGATCTCAGCATCCAAGCTGCTCTGCAAGGACTCCACAACTCGGATGTGGTTCCTCTTCATCTGGTCAATCTCCTCATCTTTCTCTGCTATCTTCCTGTCAATCTCAGCCTTCACCTGGTTGAGCTCAAGCTGCAGGCGCAGGATCTTCCCCTCCTCATGTTCCAGGGAGGCCTGGAGAAGTGGACACACACATTGATAACACCAATAAAACTACTGCTTCCTTTTACAGAATTGCAAAATATTTTGTGATATCTCAGCCATCTGCACACCCCAGCCAGAAGAGAGGACAACCCAGGCCTTTTCAGCACTATTTCATCATATCTTTACTGCAGACACCAGTGGTCATGTACCTCAGCTTCCTCCAGAGCAGCCTGAATTTCAGATTTCTCCTGCTCTATCTGCTTCTTGACTTTCTCCAGCTCATGAATTGCCTTTCCTCCCTCAGCAATCTGCTCCGTGAGGTCGGAAATCTCCTCTGTGGGAACAAAGATCAATGGCATGTTCAGGCACGGAGAAGAATGGGAAGGGCCCTGTCCCACCAAGGTGACAGGCAACTCTGCAGACCTGCAAGCACAGACCCATGGCCAATGGAGGTGGTGGCTGATAGTGAGAAAGGCCAGGGAGGAGCAGAGGGACTTACGCTGCAAGTTCTTGTTCTCCCTCTTCATTGTTTCCAGGTGGTCCAAGGACTCCTCATAGGCATTCTTCATCTTGAACAGCTCCGTGCTGAGAGAGCGCGACTCCTTCTGCGAGGCCTCCAGCTCAGCCTGCGTTTCCTCATACTTCTGCTTCCATTCTGCCAGGATCTGAAGAGAAACAGGGTGTGAGTAGGGCTGTGGCCATCACGGGGCCATGCTCTGGCCAGGAATGCTGGTGCTGGAAGCCAAAAGACCTTGTCAAAGTTCTTCTGCTTCTTATCCAGAGCAGCACAGGCAGCATTGGATTTCTCCACATCAATCATCAGATCCTCCACTTCATTCTGCAGCCTCTGCTTTGTCTTTTCCAGGGAGGCACATTTGGCATTGACAGCCTCAACCTGTTCCTCTGCATCCTGCAGGCGCTGTGCGAGCTTCTTTCTGGAAGGCAAGGTCATCTCGCATGATTACTGGGTATCAATGTGTGCTTTTTACTATATTGTGCCTAATCATTTTGCAGTTTGCAGTCACACAGTGTTAAGGGCTAGATTTATGCTGTACTTAGGATTTGCCTTTACTATAGCAGTAAATATATTATAGGATAAAATTTCTCACTTTGTATTTCTCTTCCCGAAATCATATCCATGACTTATTCCTCATAATACTGTGATGTCTTCCTTGCAATATCACCTTTGAATTTTAAGTCTTATTTTTCTGTATTTTCTATCACCACATACTTGGCCTCCTCGAGCTCCTCCGTGCGCTGAATCGCGTCCGTCTCGTATTTGGTTCTCCACTGGGCCACTTCGCTGTTGGCCTTGGACAGGGCTCGCTGCAGCTCCCCCTTGGCCTCCTGCTCCTCCTCATATTGTTCCCGGAGCAAGTCACAGTCGTGGCGAGCGGACTGCAGGGCGTGGGCCAGGGCGTTCTTGGCCTGGGGGGGCAATTGGGTTGGGACAATTAATTTCCTGTGAGACAGTAAAATGTTAACTTGATGAAAATTGTTGAAAATTCTTTGATTGTGACATTTAAAGTCAGACTGAGAAAAAATTACATACTCATTCCATGTTTCGAGAATCTAGAATGCCTTCTCAGGTGAGATGATGGGTAAATTCTAAATGACACCTATACTCTGCAAATCATTGAATCTTTTAAAATATGTTTTAAAGTTTCAGCTGCCACTGTGAAATAATAGAGTAACATGTGCGGTTTCTTTTTAGATATATCTCAATCATTTTTCATATGTCATCATAAATTGATTAAAGACCTAAATTGTTTTCCATGTCTCAGTATCACACTTGGGGAGATGTCTTCCTCAGCTTTTCACACCAGAGAGGGAGGAGGTAAAATTTCTCACCTTGCTTGATAGCTCAAAAATTAAAATGATATATCTAACATTCTGATTTTATGTGAGAATAGGAAATATCTATAAAGAAAAAAGATTCCAAATCCAAAATCAACTCCCTACAGGAAATAACTTTACCTTTATTTCTTCCTCTAAATGTCTCTTTAGTTCCTCAATCTGTTGAGTGAATGCCTGTTTGCTTCTGGATAACTGGGATATCAAACCATCTTTTTCTTCCACCTGACGTGAATATTCACCTAAGAAAGTTTCCGGACAGTTTGCCATTTTAAATCAATATTAAGTCAGTATTTCTTTTAAGCACAGTATACCAGCTAACAGAGAATAGATCAATTTAAATAAAGTATCAATCTTTTTTCCCATTATCACTGACTACAGGTTGTTCCATTCCAGAGGGGTATAGGGTGTATTACCTGACTCTGTCTGCAGACGAGCTCTTTGAGCATTGAGGTCATTGATCATGCGCTGATGCTCCTCATCCTTGCTCTTAATCTCACTCAGTTGATCTTCCAGTGTGCGGCACATCTTCTCCAGGTTTGCCTGTGCATCAAAGTCATATAAGAAAAGAGGACTACCACTAAGTTCTAGCATTCTGTCCTCAAGGTGAAAACAAAAATGCAACAGGATGTGGTAGCATAATACAATCAGAATCAAAATCATGTATTAGGGCATGTATAATAGGACAGTAACGTGACAGAAAAGCTGCACCTTGGCTTTGGAGACAGACTCCATGTTGCTAGCCAAGTCGTCAATCTCCATCTTCAGCTCACTCTTCTCCTTCTCCAGCTTCTGCTTCACGCGTTGCAGGTTGTCGATCTGCTCGCCCAGCTCAGCTGTGCTGTCCGCGTGCTTCTTGCGCAGGGCGGCAGCCGTGGCTTCGTGCTGCAGCGTGGCCTCTTCCAGGTCACGGCGCATCTTCTGGAATTCTGCCTCTC